CACTCGAAGGCCACAGAAGAGATGGAGGGGGGATGTACCCACACTAGCATTTTGTGTTGTCTCCACCTTCAAGGTGGTGTGATGCAAAGTGTTGCTTTCTGGGGACCCTGAACAGCATATAGCGAGCCCAGTTTGAGGCACTGACTATGCGCATCATCTCTCCTTCCACATCCCTTAATGAAGTGTGCCGCGCTCGTCCTCATTAGGCCTTAGCACAGTCAATAAGAGAGTCAATAAACCTGGCTGTTGGGGTTGGGGTGGAGAGGCCTGAGATGCAGCAAGGGGCCCATCCACAGGGCAGACGTCAGCACTGCCGTGTGTCGTGACCCCAGTGTTCAGGGATCAATAACGGGCTGAGGAGAAAGCCTCAGAGCCTGCCCTCGGCAGTCTCCTCCCAGGACCCACCGAGCCCCATGTGGAACAGTGCCAGCCAGCTCCGGCTTTGCCTGTAGTTGTTTGGGACCCCCATGACATTTTAGGTGCCAGATGCTTTTGCTTTTTTGTTTTTTGTTTGTTTGTTTGCTTTTTTTTTTTTTTTTCTGATGGAGCCCTTTTGGACATCCTGTGGATTCATACTTAGTGAGTGCCCACCTGGCAAGGGGACACCGCAGGCAGCATCTCCAAGTAGCCCCAGAGGCCAACACGGATTCCATTCTCTGTGTCTTCTGTCTGCTGACGGCATGTGAGGAGTCCCAGTGGACAGGGCATGCGTCTTCTGCATGCTGTGTGGCTGGACTCCATTCCTGGCTGCTGTGCCTCTCACTCGATACCCCTTTATCTTATCTAATTACAAGGAATTTCAGATGAATTTCGTGGCCTCTGCTCCCTAGGACCTCTTATCTGTGAGGGCCTTGTATTTTAACCTTGTCATTCTTTTGTTGCTCGCCTTGAGGGGGTGATGGCCAGAAGGGAAGGATATTGGAACTGGGGTGGGGGAGGGGGAGGAAGAGGAAGGCAGACAGATCTGGGACCGCTGCCTGTGTGTGGAGACAGCTGGCTGCTTTCTTCCATGACAGCCACATGGTACCCAGCCACACAGAACAGGACCCAGGCAGGGACTCGCCTGCTGCCAACCTCTCCAGATCGCTCTGATATTTCCGACAGAGCAGTAAAGGACTCTTGACTATCACGATTTTTTTTTTTTTTTTTTTTTTTTTGCTTCGCCTCTCTCCCCCTCCTGTAAGACTCCTCCACGTCGTTTCCATGGCTACCCCCAATCAGATTTGGCTTCCTGCGAAATTGGATTTCAAAGAAGGACAAGGGCTTCAAAGGAATTTGTCCATTTAACAGAACGTCATTAGGAGTGAGGCTGACTGCTGAAGCAGGGTCCTCAGAAGATTAAGGAGGGCCAGCACTCATGTGTGGAGGCAGGCCTCTGTCTGCAAGGGGGGAGCCTTGATGCGGCCTGACATCAGTGTATTGGAAACTGCCAGTCACCACCACACACACCTGACTTCCACCCCGCCCCCCATCTCCGTCTCTCTAAAAACCCAGAGATCCACAGGGGGAAGAATGCACGCAGAGCACCTACCCTGTGAATTTTTGCTTCTCCCTAGGTGGGAGTGAGCTATGACAGGCGGCATGGCCTGGGGTTCTGCCCTTTGTCAGACAACTCATGAGCTCCTGGCCCTCCGCGACTCTGCTGACCAATGTCCCTTGAATAAGGGGGGGGGGCACTCTGGGTTCTCTTCAGATCCCAGAAATACTCTGCCTTTTTACTAAAAAGAGAGGGAAGGGCTGTCCTTTTTCCATTGTTGAAAGAGAAACTGAGGAAGTCTGGGCAGCACAGAGGGAAGACCAACCCTCCCCTGTTGAAAACCAGTTTTATGTTTACAAGGAGTCTGAGAGTAGTTCAGAGGGATGCCCACACAGCCTCCACTTTATACAACACGCACATACCCGCAAATAATCCTAAGAGCAGCTTCAGTTTTTATCGGGGGTGGGGGGGGACAGCAAGGGAGGGGAAAAATGCCCCAGAGGCATGCGTCACTCGGTCTGGAGCCTGGAAGAGGCGGCCCCCACTGCTATAGTCTCACCAGGTAAAGGGCAGCACCAAGGAGTCAGGTTCCCGGACGACCTTGACCAGCCTCTGTTCTCTTCACTTCAACTTGTTGCAGCTCATAGGTGGGTCATGAGGCCCCTGAAAACCAGGGTACCGTTCCTTTTTCGGGTGTCAGGATATGATAAAGCAAAACAAAAAACCCCCACCAAATGCCTTAAAAGTGAAGTCCCTAACCTTGAGACTGCCTCTTCACAGGGTGTGTACGGGCGCCTGGTCTAGGAGGCCATGTGCTTTTGCCTTGTGCCCAGTTTCTTTTTTCTGCTCTGGCTTCTTCTCATACATTGAAATCAGCATCACCCTCACCCCCAGGCTGATACGCAAACCATTTTATCTCTCTCCCTTAAGTCTTCCGTCACCACTCCTAACCCCTTCCTACATAGTCTGAGAACAGAACTAACTCTCCCTCTCCCTCTCCTCTCCCCTCCCCCCCCCCTCCCTCTCCCTCTCCCTCTGGACATGGTAGAGGTGAAGAAAGATGCAGAGGTCACATGTTAGATCATTTTTCACCTACAAAGTCCTCCCCCCCTTTCAAAGTCGGGCTCTGGCATTTGGAGCCCGTGTCAAATGACAACAAAGTGTCGCTCGCACAGGCACTTCCATCTTTTTCTTCGCATTTATGCTGTTTCTTATAACATCCATGCCACTCTGTTTTCTTCATGGCCCATTGTGAAAAACAAACAAACAAACAAACAAACAAACAACCCAACCAATCAATGTTGGAGTAATTTTGCACTCACAGACAGTTGTAAGAAATAACACAGAAAATAACAAATATTCCCATGAACCTTTGCCCAAGTTTCACGGTGTAGTAACATCTTCAGTACCTACCTGCAACCCAGACTTGGGCACTGACTGACTGTACTTTGAGAGGGAGCGGGCACAGCCCTGCGATCTCGTCGATCACTTTTTTCTTCTGCTCTGAGAGAAAGAATTGTTTCCCATCTCTCTTCTCACAGACTCTCACCTGCGGGGATGGGGGTGGTGGGGGTGGGGGATGGCACTTTGTCTCTCTGTGTGTATTGCCCTCTGATGCTGATTCTGCCAAATGTTGGGGATCTGCCTTATCACCGGGTTTCTGAGTAACCAGCACGGTTTCCCCTGGACAGCGAGCTGGATCAGCAATCGAGGCACTAGATCTTTGGCGGGGCTAAGTTCTTTTTTGGACTCTGCCTCTGCACCCCAGTTCAGGAACCACTGTGGCCTTTAAACCTGCCGCCCCAAGGTCAAATTGCCTAGTCCTTAGCAAGACCGCTGGTTCTTTGGAGTCTAGGAAATCTTTTGGTGCGGGGAGCAAAGGGCCACGCCTTTGACCTTGCGTGCTACCTCTGTCAGGGCGCGAGCCCTGGCGTGCACCTGCGCCCAGGGTCCCCGCGCCCGCAGCCCGCTGCGCGCGCCGCTTCCTGAGCGCGCGGCCGGCCGGCGGACCCGCCCTGCTGCTGGGCCCCGAGGCGACAGCCGAGGTACAGGTACCCCGGGTGCAGATCGACTCCCTCTGCCCGCCGCCGTCGGAGCAGGCCTCGCGTCCCTTGTCCCGCCTTCTGCTGCGGCCGCCCTCCCGCCGGGCCAAATGCAGGCTGTCGCCCTCCCCGAGGAGATCCGTTGGCTCCTGGAAGGTAACTCCTGGCACAGTGCCAGACCTCCGTCCTGACCCCTCCGGGAAGTCCCTTCAGGGCTGGGCTGAAGGCGAGAAAGGAGATACCAGGGCACTGGCCCTTCAGCCCTGTCACTCACCTAATACAAGCTCCAGGCTTCCAGAGTCCTCAATCCCACCCTTGTCCCCAAAGCCAGTCAGTCTCCCATCCTCCCACCTCAGGGTGCCTACCACTCCCTGGAGTTACACACTTTCTGTTCCTTCTAGGCATCTGCATCACTGGGCATCACTCCTAGGTTTCTAAGGTCTTGTGAGCAAGGTTCATGGCATCCCCTGACTGCTTGCCTGGTCTTGAACCTGTTTCCCAAGGAATCCCTGAGGCCTGCAGTATAACGATTACCCTTCATCCTCCCCGGTCCTGACTCCTCACCTCACAGAAGACCCACGCCTTTCTGGGGAGAGATCTCCTAGACACACAATGGGGCTCTGTGGAAATTTATGGGTCTTTGGGCCAAACCTGGTGGTTAGGAGACTTCTTACAGGTGTAGAAACCCAAGGCCTCCTTTACCAGCCTGCCGACTTCGAGGACTGTCATCTGACCCAAGGGAAGCCTCAGAGTATGACATCCCTTCCCTTTCTAGAAGTGTCCCATTGTGATGGCTTCACCTTCAAACTATGGTGTCTAAACGGTCCTTTAGAGTTAAGGTCACACTCTCTGACACTCAACATGCCCTCCTGGCACTCTAGAGAGACTTCCCTGATGGGCAATATCTTGTGCTTGGCTCCTGCGGTGAAAATCAGTTTCACTTGCTTTCCTGTGACTGACCTTCTTGGGAGGACAGAGGCCTGGAATCTGCAGTTGCTTAAGGGTCTCAAGAGGAAACCGCTCAGAATTAAGCCTTTTGGCATCCAGGCAACATATTTGACACATAGTTAACAGATGGCCTGCTTTGGGCAGGTCATGATTTTGGCAAGCTGCGTTCTTTTCAGTTTCTCTCAATTTAATTGGTTTTCTATCTCCATTACCTTGTTATCTTGGTATAAACGCGTCCTAATCAAGGATTTGGCGAGTGCTTTTGGTTTCTGTTTGTAGCACTGTTTCTATTCTGGATTGCTTCTCTGTTAGAGCTGTCAGTGGGCATTTCTTTTGAGGCGATGTTTCAAAAATCTATTTTTTTTTTAAAGAAAAAGCTATTTATTTTTTTGAGTGTAGATGTATGGGTGTGCATGTGCCACAGCACGTTTGTGGAGTTCCAATGGCAACTGTTGGGAGTTGGCTCGATCCTTCCACCCTCTGGGTGTTGGGGCTCGAACTCAGGCCTTCAGGCTTGGCGGCAAGCACCTTTATCCACTGAGCCATGCTAGGGGTTGAACATAGGACCTTTTGCATGCTCGTCAAATGCTCTACTACTGAGCTACATCCTCTAAACCATCTAAAATCTGCTTAGCTTGTGAACCAAGTGAAATCTGAACTATACTAATAAAAAGTGATTGGAGGATAGAAGAAATCACCTGGGCATCTAGAGAGGTTGGTTCAATATTAGATACATAAAGGAATGCTGTAATTGTCTTTGGTTTTTAGAGAAGGAACTGTGGCCACGAGTTTAATTCTACCCTTGGATTTAAAGACAGGGTGTTTCTTTTTATTGATGTCCGTCATTTTATGAGAAGAAACCCATTTTACAAGCTTGTTAAATGATGCTTCGGTTTTGTGCACAGCCTTGGTAGAAAAACCCTCTTATTTTCAGAGGCTTTGCGATGCAATCCACTCCTTTGACATTTTTGATGCACAGTTCTTTATTGTTCAAAACTGACACTTTGGTAAACAACTCATTTTTGCACCTGCCACCTTCCTTTAGCTCAGATTATTTTCTTGTTAGCTGACCATTTTTAATTGAAGTCTTCAGATCTCCTTCTAAAGCAGGACCTTTGTTTGCTGACAAGCAGAGCAGGGTATGAATGGAGATTAATTGCATGTCACATACTTCAGTATCAAACTTGCTGTCTTAACAATCCCTGATAGTGCTCGGGTCTTTGGAATATATAGAGGAGTCCGAGGTTGCATTTTGAGGAGCTTCACTGGTTACTTCTTTAAAGCCATTTTACTTTGTATTTTTTTAAGCTTGTAATTATCATCTTGAATCTGAAGTGGGGGAAAATGTAGAGCGGGATACGACCGATGATTCTAATGAAAAATGGTGGAAGAGTATGTTTTTGAAAGGTTTGTGTGATAATAGCAACATATGGGTTATAGGTTTTTATTTTATTAATTTTTTTAATGGATCACAGTCTCTAGTGCAGACCAGCAAATGATTTGTTGTGTTACAAACAATTTGTGGATATTAGAAATCCAAAATGGTCATCAATTTTCTGTCTGTGTCTGGTTTCTTCTCCCCCCACCACCCACCTTTTAAGGTTAACCGTTAACAATTAGAAAATATGTAGGTCCTGATCTCTGTAGAGTCGCTCAGTGGGAGGGAGTCACAGGATATGAAAGCTGAGTCTGCTGCCACCACACAGCACGGGGGTGGAGTTCCCACAGTGAATTACTGCTTTCATAAACCAAGTCATAAGCATTTGCACAGTGATTTAATGCCGGCCATCATGGCCATAACTTAAACATTTATTTATTTATAACAACAGGAGCATAAAATGACAGGGGCATCTTTTGATATAATGTGTGTGCCTTAAAAAATAAAATATGCAAAGCACTGTGGATTGTTTATACCAAAAATTTTGCATAATGAGGGTCTAAAATTAATTTTAAGTATAAGATTTTAAACATTTGAAGATGTCTTATTTGATATGGAAATCCCACTTCTAGGAATCTGTTAGAGAAATTAAAAACATGAAATATGTATACAAAAGTTTACCCCAGATGCCAATGAGGTGGGGAAAGCAGGTGACGGTTGAATGAACCATGGGGCATCCATCTTAGTTTGCACCCATTACAAAAAATGCAGGAGATCTGTCTGTGTGTCTGTCTGTCACCTGTCTATCTTAGTTTGCAAAGTGTCCATTTCACATTTTTAAGACTAAAAGAGTGAAATACACATTAGTACGTATAATGGCCTATTTTTACTTGAAAACAAAAAGCCAAAAAATGTTGCGTACATCAGATATGTTTGTGTAAGCTTCAGAGAAAGTGCAAATGGGGGTATCCCAAACTCTTAAGTTGCCTTTTAGGGATAGCAAGTGTGGCGGAGGTTGATGATTTTTATTACATATACCTTCATGTTGATTGAATTGTGACAAAGTTATTTATTACTTTTGTAATCAGGAAATAGTAGTCAGGTTAAAAAAAGAAGAAGAAGAAAAGATAAGAGAAGAAAAAAAAAAACCAGGCAAACAGAAGCCCCAAGAGGTGAGGGGTTTAAGGGGCCATTAACTACAGGTGTGGTTGGTTTTTTCCTGCTTAGTTATGGGAAGGTGAGTGGAAAGTGAAAAACAAACAAACAAACAAAAACAACTTCTCTGTTGGTTTTTTGGCAAATGACAAAGGGCGGAGAAGTTTTTAGTAACCCAGGCAACAGCGTCTTCCAATCGGCCCTGTCGAGCTGCAGGGACAGAAGCTGGTCCCATATCAGTGACTAAAGCAGGCACAGATAAGGAAACAGGGCATCTTCCGCGTTATTGAAAGAGGAGGAAATATTCAGGTCTGTTCTCAAGTAGTCAGACTTCAGATGTAGAAGTTATCTCTCTGCTTTTGTTTTTCGATAACCGTGCTGAAAACAAACAATGGAATGCTGGCAGTCTGCTAATCTTTGTCGCACAGATACAAACATAGTATCCTCTTCCTGGTCTTTCTAGCCACGCCCCCCTCCGTTGTGTGTGTCTCTGTTTCTGTCTCTGTCTCTCATTCTAAGTGAGAAGGAGGTGCAACAGATATTCCCTGGGTTTATAAGGCAACTTGCTGACCTCACCCTGATACCTGATAGACCAAATTGCCTATGCGGTGCCTCCATGATGTGTCTTGGAACATGGACTGACCCGAAACATCACTGTATGCTGCAGTGAGTGCTCCCTGGCACCGACCCTCGTATCCCAATGGTTACTTACTTTTTAAACTTCAATAGTCATTAGTTATTACCTTTCAGATAGTTCTCCAGATCTGGATTGGTAGACACCAATGAAAGTGGAAAATCCCTTTCAGTATAGCAAAGCTCTGACTACCAGGAACTTGAAGTGGTATGTTGCTCTGGATAGCGAAGGTTCCTTCAAATAGTCTAACTTGCAAACATTTTTGATGAATTCTTTTAAAACATGAACTAGGAACTTCCCCCATTTCTTCAAGTGAATCTCTTTGAAATACTTTTAAACTCAGCCTTATGATAGTGAATGTCTGTTGTTCAAAGCTGTTTCTGCCATGGTTATTCCTGGGTTGCCTCTGGAAGGTCCACGTCTGGTTTGTTCATTTATATGGAGCTGGGGACTGACCCAAGCCTCAGTGGGCTAGTACAGGATCTGTCTCTGAGCACACTCCAGCTGCTTTGTGTTCTTTGTTCATGCCTTTTATTACCCACTTAGTGATGCTGAGGCCTGTCACTATCCAGTTGGCTAGATCTCTGTCTTCAGTGCTTCTGGAACATTAGCGAATCAAGTATTTTGGAGCTCTGTGTAAAAGTAGGTATGAAGGGCATCTTTGGTCTGGAGATGTAGTTCACTGGTATAGTGCTTAGCTGGCAATTCAAAGACCTTGGTTCGATTCCCAGTACTGTGTGTGAGAGAGAGAGAGAGAAAGAGAGAGGGGAGGCAGGCAGAAAGACAGACAGATGGACAGATGGACGTTGTATGTGCTGGGGTGAGAGTTTTTTTCCTGTGGGTTCCAAGTGACAGAAGTGAGGTCATAAGCCTTGGCAGCAAGCACCTTTGCCCTCTAAGCCCTCTCAACAGCCCGAAGTGGTTTTCTTGGTAAACAAGTGTCCAGGCTCTCTCTCAGGTGTGGGCTTTGTAATGTGTGTTTGGTTGCTTGGCCTTTCTTTTTTTTGAGGTTAACTTTTGGTACTGGTGGTCTCAAAAACA